GTCTAGACCTAGTACCAAGCTATGCATTTACATGTCTTAACAAGATGGTTGCCAGCTCTGTCCTACTAGTCTTCTTATTTTGAAACAATGTTTGTCATAGAGAAACATTGAAACGTATGCTCCTTCATGAGAAGCTCTCACTTTCACATTGAGCAAATGCTCAAAATAGTGAGGAAAAGCACCCTGTGACTTATCTGACTGATCATTGGAAAGGTACAACAAAGGAAATCAGAGACTTTCAAAACTGAACAAAGAGCTTTTTTTTGTTAAATCACTCAAAATTGGTTTGACAAAATATGTGGACATGACCCTGTTTCTCAATTCCACCAAGGATATTGCTACTGCATGGTTAAGCATTCAGAGCATAACGGAAATGTGAGCCACTTACTGTACGCAGTAATAAATACAAACCACTGAAAGAAATCTGTTCGACCCTCAATGCATGCATGAATGGAGGATTTGAAAAGAATACATTTAATGGATGAACTAGCTTTATATTCTATACGGGATTCAATATATACAGATTGAATTCCTTGAGAATAATTAAATAAAACATGGTAAGGTTAACTGAAAGACTCAAGGATTTTTTGAAGGATTATTATTTAGCGATTTAGAACTATGTACAGCATTTGTAAAATCATAATGTTATAGACCATGAATGGTATGGAAAGCTGTAATGTTATTGTATATACATTCAATAAGTTATGTAAACAAAGAAATATATGTCCTTAAAAATTCATTTATCATTTGGCATTACAAAAAGAATATAAACAAGTAAGAACAACCATCTTTCAGAGCAGCTGGCTGCTTATGTACCATCTGTGACTGATATCCCATACTGAGTACCTCCACCAGGTATCTTGTAATGCTTCATTCTCTCCCCAACCTCCCCTCTAAATTGCACTCTATTTGGAGATTGGGAAACAGAGCAATACCTGCTTAAAGATTGATCGAACAACGGCACAGTCCCGATCCGAAGAACAGTTCCAGAGTGTTTTAGGGTATCTCCCGGTCAGGTGGTCGATGTGTAAAATTAGTCCAGGCAATCTAAAGAGGTCAACAAGTCTGTCTGGGAAGCACAGTAGGTAACCAGGGCCCCCATTCCCTTCCCCACAGTGACAATAGCCCCTAGTCTGTAGGCAGGCAATAAAGAAAAAATCTATACAAAATGGGAGGGCATCACAGACACTAATATTTACCAGCTTCGTGTGAAATATCTCAAAACAATAGAGAGGAAACAGAAAAATATATAATTAGTAAAACCAATAAAGAATTTATTGAAGACAAAGATAACATTTAAATTAAAACAAATATGTTAAATATTGGCACAAAATATAAGTGTGCAGTTATCAATAATAAGCCTGAGTAGGCTTGGAACCCTTAAAGGGACACTCCAGGCACTCAGACCACTTCTGCCCATTGGAGTGGTCTAGGTGCCAACTCCCACTACCATTAACCCTGCAAGTGTAATTATTGCAGTTTTTATAAACTGCAATAATTACATTGCAGGGTTAACTCCTCCTCTAGTGGCTGTCTAGTAGAGGGCACTTCCTGATTCATAGCTCTGGTTTTCTGTGCTATAGCATCGCTAAAATCCCCATAGGAAAGCACTGAAAGCATTTTCAATGCTTTCCTTTGGAGAGGTCTAATGCACGTGCGTGGCATTGCCGCCGGATGACGTGGGGACGGATGACGTGGGGACGGGGAGGAGCGTGGGCAGACCAAGAAGCAACGGCGAGGGAGTTGCAGTTTTGACCCTTTCAGCAACCGGGGATGGGAGTCGGAAGGGAGAGGGGACCTGCAGTGCCAGTAAAACGGATTGTTTTCCTGGCACTGGAGCGTCCCTTTAAGGCTTGCAGCTTTTTCACAGAACAGAATTCATAATACACATAGCAAGTGTTAAAGTGCAGATCAAATAAAGTAAAGTAAGGTGCGTCAACTAATTGCTCAAAAAACAGCTGCACCCACTTTCCCTTCACAACACACAACAACATAGCACAGAATTAGTGTGCAAAAAAATATAAAGTGCATAAATCATTCAAAAAGTGCTTCAAAGACTGCTCAAACCAGGTCTCATGATTCTCTCAGCAAGGCTCAACGCGTTTCATTGGTCATCAGACTGCCTCAGAAGCTTCTATCTTCTTCCTTTTAAATCCGCCGGTGCGCGCATTTTGACAGGGGACCGCACAAGTATAAACCATGTCGAACGTAACGCCATACGTCATGACACCCGAACGGCTGACAAGCTTTATTAACAATTTACACAGCCGCATCTCCGATCTGGTAAACTTAAAACAGTTGGAAATATTTGCGGCTGTGTTCACATATGTGCCTACATTTTAAAAACACTAACGGCTATCACAGCCAGATTATATATGAATCGGACTTGATAGAGAGAATTTATATATATATATATATATATATATATATATATATAAAATACATTGAAAAATAACAAAATAAAAAGATAAAATTAACAAAATGGAGCTAATGCACATAAGTGAAAAAATGCATGTGGGACAATCCATTCATATATGCATAATGAGTATGTTAAAACCAATCGAGGAGGCCTTAGAGGCCATCACTCCTCGAACAGAGTGAGGCAAAAATAGTGAAGTATCAATACCAGCCAGAGACAATCCATTTGACTGGCAGATGCGGTTTCTGGAAGGAAACGAAGAGTTCGTGTTTTGATGGGTTCCGTAGTGAAGAAGTGCAAAGTTCATATGTTTGAATATAAAAAATAATCTAGGCACTCCAGCGTAGTCCAAAATGTAGGCAATCTTTATTGGAACAAGGAACCAACCAGCAACATTTTGACCCCTTAGGGCCTTTGTCAAGCTAATGAAGCACATACCACACATACAATATATAGGTGTAACATTTCATAAGTGAAAAAACATGTGATCTAATTACAATTGATTAATGACATAATCATTACATACTGATAAAAACATAATTATCTCTCCAATCATATGTTTGAAGGCACGCGACTGGGCATAAGAGTGGTCTGTCAGGTAAGGATGGATACAAAACTTTTTTCGAGGAAGTTTTAGTTCTTCGAGATATATCAAAGAGTACACCTTCTGGTGTATATTAGCGAGCAGTAACGTCAGAGCTCTGACGTCAGAATCCCTCTTGCAGGATATTAAACAGAGAAGCATGACTAGTTTTTCTGATAATTGTTTCAGAGATAGTGAGGGATTAGTCGGCCAGTATTCGAAGAAGTTAAGGATGAGAGAAACGTCCTGAAAAAACGAACTTTGGTGTCCAGTGGAGATAGAATAACGGTACAGGTTCACTGTGCGATAAGCCTTACCATCATTGACGAGTGAGGTAAGGAATTGAAGGATCGAAGTCAGAGGAGCCGATACGAGATCCATGTTTTGTTCCAGGCACCAACGATGCCATCTGAGTCTGGTCTCCAACTGAACCTGTTAAGCTGTGTTCAAGCCCAAAGCAAAAAAGGTCTATGTCTAGTGGACCCCATAAATGGTCGATATCCTGGAAGACTCTTGAATCCAGATGGCAATCGCTGGAATCTCTGAGGTGTACCAAATACACCATGGTGTTGGAGAGGCCGGGAATATATTCTGCGGTAACCGATAGGCCCTGTGTCAGGCAGAACTGCCAAAAATCCTGTGCCATGTTCGCCAGGACCTTTAATTTTGTACCTGCTAGATGATTGATGTAACAGACAGCTGATATATTGTTCAATTTCAGCAGAATAGAGCACTGGGCTTGAGTTGAGGAGAAGCTGTGGATAGCGAATGAGCCTGCCAGGAGTTCCAGACAGTTGGAGAGTCGATTCATAATCAGACCATCTGCCACCAGTAGAGACATCTCCACAACGAGCACCTCAACCGTGTAAGCTCGCATCGGATTCTATTACCAAGTCTGGTGCTGCGCCAAAGATGGTGTGACCATTCCACACTTCCATGTGAAGAAGCCACCATTTCAGCTCGTCTTTCACTTCTGAGTCCAGAATGACCATATCTGTGTAGGATATGCCTTCCATCAGACGGAAAGTCTGTACACGTTATAGGGCTCGATAGTGAAGAGGGCCCGGAAAAATGGATTGTATGGAAGCTGCCACAAGACCAATTATTCTCACCAATTGTTTGAGAGTAAGTTGGGGAGCTGCCAGTGTCCGCCTGATTTCTTTCTTAATATTGGACAGCTTTGACATTGGAAGATGCAGGGTGTGAAGAGTAGAATATACGATGAGACCCAGAAATTCTATTCATTGTGTAGGAGTCACGATGGATTTTTCCCAATTGGTTAGGAAGCCTAGATTCTGTAGCAGAGTCAAAGTCCAGTACAGATGAGTTTTAAGGAGTTGAATAGATTAAGCCATGAGAAAGATGTCGTCTAAGTATATTATCAGCTGTATTCCTCGACTCCGTAACACCATGATCACAGGCTTCATGAGTTTGGTGAAGCACCACAGGGCTGAAGACAGCCCAAATGGGAGACATGTGAACCTCCATTTCTTTCCTTGCCAAATGAATTGCTGGAAATCTTGGTGTTGTAATGCTATAGGCACTGCGAGGTAGGCATCTTGTAGATCCAACTTTGCCATCCAATCTGATGGTTGGAGAAGATCTTGCAAACAATGGATCCCTTCCATCTTGAAATGGTGATAGGTTAAATATGCATTTATCACTGGGCGGACACCTCTGCCTTTTTTGGCAACAAGGAAGAGGTTGCTCACATAACCCGTAGTGGACACTGGCATTTCTATGATGGCTTTTTTGCACATCAGATCAAATATTTAATTGGTGACAAGGTCTGCATCTTGTCAGGAAAAAACAATTTCCCTCGATGGGGAGCATTGCCCTGACAGAGATAGGAAATCTATGGTATAACCTTTTACTGTGTTTAGTACCCACATATCCAAAGAAATGAGAAACCATACATGGAAAAAATGAATTAGTCTGCCTCCCACTACCAATAAGGAAGAATGTAGATTGAGAGGACTTACCATAAGGTCGTCATCCTTAATGGGCGCCTCGTGGTTCACGGTCAATCCAGGGTCGACCACGTTGTTGAAAGAAGTCAGGTGAATTACAGTGTTCCAGGAAACTGTCCCGCCCTTTATAGAAAGCTCGGTTCTGCCTAAACAAACTTCTGGTAACACGACCAGACAGATGGCTCCTGGCTCTTCTCGCCCCACCAAAAACCCTGGGGTTTACTACTTTGTGAATATTTGATTGTGCTTTATCTAAGGCAGGGAATGTGTGTATGAAAGAAGTGAGTTCTTTGACAAAATTTTCTCCAAATAGGAGACCATTGGCTTGCGCGCCCGGCTCGTTAAGAGCCATATGGACCAATTTGGGTTCAATTTTTAAAAGTATAGATTTGCAACGCTCTGTGGCCATCGCTGTATTAGCATTGCCAATTAGGCAAATTACTCTTTGAATCCAACCACATATGGTGGCACGAACTAATTCTTGGTTGTCTTCAACCACTTCTAAAATTTTGGCTGCCGGGCCCAAAATATCCAGGACCTTATTCTGGCAGTTCCGTAAAGAGAAATCTAGACCCTTATTGGGTTTTCAGCCCGTCTTTCCCAGAAACTGTATTATTTTTGGATCAACTGTAAGTGTTCTGCAAGCGTCCTCTGGGACCGTTCTGCCCTCAATTTGTTTCTGGTCACCTTATCCAAAGGCTTGCGCATTGATGACGCTATGTATCTGGCTACGTGGTCTGAGGGAGACCATTCTGCTGACCGTGGATGGCACAGCTCATCGGGGTCGAATAGGGGTTCACCATGGGGATCTAAAATCTTACCTGTGTCCCCTGAAGCTCCATGCTCCAAATCAGTTTTAGCAGGTTTCACTAGAATAGTGTCCTGGAAAGGGTAAGATTCCTCGACTTCAAAGTTAGAACCAGGATCCGATGGATCACCTGAATCTTCTATATAGGACTCCTCCTCAATATTGCTGAGATCTGACTCAGAATCTAATTGGGCATACGCCCTTTTCCATAATCTAGACGATTTTGCCTGGATAGTGGCTCTTTTGCACGGTGGCAAAATAGTCATGCCATCTGTGACGGGTGTAATGCTGTCCATCTTTGACATTGAGAAGTGCTTAACTTTAGCAAGGGCTTTGCGGCCAGAATGAGGCTGCACAGGAGTCGTTAATGGCAATGCCTGGGTAGTACTCGGCTGAGCCGATCTCTGTGCCTGAATCAAGGCTTGTGCAAATGTCTGTGACAGGGAGTTGGACATAACTCCAATAGCCGACATTAGGGCTTTAGTCATGGCTTTTGACACTGAATTGTCAATCAAAGTCTACATTTCAGCAGGAGCATCAAAGTCAGCGGTGAATTCTGCTCGGTCTCCAGATGTACCTAGGAATGTATCAAAAGCAACTTGAATGGGTGCAGTAGACCCAGAGGATGCTGAGTCATCTTTGCCAGACTGCATGTTGAATACAATCGAAATTTATTTCACAAACACCAGAGCCGTCTGACCGCCACTAAAACTAAACCCCAATTCCGAGTTCCGGCTGTTGGGGGCAGTACTAGCATCAAAATGCAGGAAAAAAACAAGAAAATTGCTGCCGTGAACAGAAATGTCTCCACGAATGGCAAAACACATGGACAGTGTTCGTTGAAATGAATGCAAGTCTATGGGAGCGCTATGGAAGCGTTCGTTGCAAAAAACAAAATAGCCGTATAAGGCACTACGTGCGAACGCAAGAAAGCTGCGTTCATGGGAAAAAACTCCTGAACGCTATAACTGAACGAAACGCACGTTCGAATCCAGTGAGTGGCGGCTGGTACAGTAAAAGGCTCACGAAAAAATGGCGTGAAAGCGCCGAACAGGGAACAGAAATCCCTGAAGACGTCCCTGAGCCATATTTATAAAACTGGGCTCAGGGAAGTCCAGAAAACACAAGCAATGACAGAAAACACAAGCAATTACAAGACAAATAGCTAAATCAAATTTAAAAAATCAATAAATATAAAAGTAAAGTATACCAAAAATATGGAAATGTATTAGTACTGTAAGAAATAAGTAATAGTATAATTTAAAATACATCAATTATACTACCAAATATGAAAAACAGATAATAAAAATGATTTAAAAGAACACACAATTAAGAGAACCGTGGAACCTGGTGTTACTTAAAGGGAAACTCCAGTGCCAGGAAAACAATCTGTTTTCCTGGCACTGCAGGTCCCCTCTCCCTCCCACCCCCCAATCCCAGGTTGCTGAAGAGGAGAAAACCCCTTCAGTAACTTACCTGAGGCAGCGACGATGTCCCTCGTCGCTGCTTCCTCCTCCGCTCCTCCGGCTGACCGTGGCGGCCGGTGGTCGAGACTGATCCGGCCCACCGGCCGGGGAGACCTATTGCACATGCGCGGCAATGCCACGCGTGCGCATTAGGGCTCCCCATAGGAAAGCTTTGAAAATGCATGAGCGATGCTGGAGGTCCTCACACAGCGTGAGGATGTCCAGCGACGCTCCAGCTCAGGTTTCCTGTGCTAGGAACCAGGAAGTGTCCTCTAGTGGCTGTCTAGAGGTGGAGTTAACCCTGCAAGGTAATTATTGCAGTTTATAAAAAACTGCAATAATTACACTTGCAGGGTTAAGAGTAGTGGGAGTTGGCACCCAGACCACTCCAATGGGCAGAAGTGATCTGGGTCCCTTTAACTGAGGGAGCAGCAAAGAAAGAGGAAGTGGATTACGCATCATCGCCTATTATGCTGGAAAGCGGAAGTTGATTGGCTGTTCGTGTTGCTAGGACGATATACCTCTCATGCTATTTATTGTTATCATACCATTTGAATGTTATATTTTTCTTTGCTGCTGAGGGAAATAAAGGAAGAGTGCAGCATAATAGGAGCCTCCTTGTCTTATTCAAATCTCAAATACTAGTTAACGTTAGGCAGTTACAATAATAACCTTTTCTGGCAAAAACTAAAATAATTAAATATACAAATTAAATCTACACAACTCTTTGCGACCCTTCAAGACTCAGTAATTACTTAATACTGCTGTAACCAAATTGATTGCTAATATGATCCTTGAAACTATATCAGGGGTTTACAAAACAATGTACAGAGATCAAACTGTACAAGTAAAGAGTCAGTACACTAAAATTAGCATCTAAAACTACATAAATAGTTATTTATGTAGTTTATAGTACATAAATTTCAACTAAGAAACGTAGAAAATTCTGATACATGATTATGATAAATAAAACAACATATAATTTTTCACTTCTAATTTGTTTAAAATCAGAAGGCTCAATATATAAAATTATATGTAAATAAAAAAGTACATTGTTAGTAGAATGTTCAGATAAATAATAATCTAATTCTGTAAGTGGCATTTTGGTAAAGCAGTCAAGGAAATGCTTCTGTTGTCTTTGCAACATGGGAAGTTTGGTTTAAAAAAGTGAAGAAGCATCAAGCACCAAGCACCATAACCACTTCAGTGCTTGGGATCTGTATGTATAGCATTTCATGTTGAGACCATGCACAGGCAGAGATGAACCCTTTAGCTTCTGGAGGTGCATCATAGGAGTGCCATCAGCCAGCCTGGAACTAGAGATCCAGGTTGGCAAATGTCAGTCCTGTGCAGCTTTCATTGCACAGTCATTGGTTAAGAGTGTTCAGCTGTCGCTCTCAACCAATGAATGTCAACCTGCATGGCTCACTGCTACTACAGCTCTTCTGAAGCCAGAAGCTTGTGACTTGACCACAATGGAGCATCATATCCTGGCGAGGACCCTGGTATGGGGGCAAACCTTTCCTAATTTTTAGTGGGATGTACGGTTTATGATGCTTGGAATAAACTTGTATTAATGTAAAACCGGTAAGACTCTATCACCGAGAAATCGTCATACATCATCATAAAAATGACCATCTGGGGTTTAAACAGTAAAACTATATTGTCTAGACTAGAAAATCAACATTTTGATTCCATTTACTAAATAAATCTGTCAAATGGGTGAAAAGTATAACTTGTTTGCACTTTACTACTTATGTAAACATTTATCCAACTATATCAATTTCACTTTAGTATTTGAGCAATAACAAATAGCTGTGTTCAGCTATGGATCTTGTCAGCGTCTTGGCAGTTGAAGTAGTAAGTAAATACATACAGAATTTGGAAACACTATAAAACATTAACCAGTTCATATCAGTTCAGCACAGCATTTGTATGGAAATGAAACAACTTTATATGTAAATTGACTGTAACTCGATCGTACAATGAACAGACAAGTTACTTACCTTTAATTCCCCTTTCTTCTACTGTTAAATGGTATTGACTCTGTGATTTAAAAAAAAAAAGATCAAATATCATTTTTTGAACTGCCCTCATGACAATACCCCCACAAATCCTGTGTTTCAGAAGGTTTAACAACATTTCTAGTAAAGAGTAGATGAGAAATTAAAAATTGCAAGGAAAGAAAAAAACATGGCTTCACTCTAAACATTTTTCACATGTATAAAAGACTTGTTTAAGAGGGGATGTAAACAACATTGATGTTGCAGAATGGGGCATCTGCTGGTACAGTACATTGCGAGGAGAGTCATATTGGGACATCAAAGAAAAAAGTTACCTGCGCTCTTTCCACATCCCTATGTATTTTTAAACAAATGGAGGTATAATAAGCATGTAGGGATGTATATAAAAACACCCTTTCTGTCTCATTAGAGATATCTTTGCCAGAAGCTCAAGGGATCAAGGTGAATGGTTAGAGTTAGGTCCCACCTAAGAGGTCTGCCTTGATGTGGCAGGTGGGCATACCCTCTTATGGCCATTGGAGGTAACTAAAAACCTCCATTTGTTTAAAAATACATAGGGATGTGGGAAGAGCACGGGTAACTTTTTTTCTTTGTTGTTTACTATATGTATTTGGGCTGATGTGTGCTATGGTCAGTGCTGCTGCCGCCCAGGAGTAATGAGAGTTGGAGTGCAGGACTTGTTTCTTTGTATTCATATTAGGACATATTTTTATAAAGAACACTATTTATCAATCAATCAGGATAAAGAAAGATATCAAATTCATATCAAGTGGATATTTTACATGCTGTTTACAAATAAATATAAATCCACTTGAACAAGCTTTAGTGTTTTTATTTATCAGTCTAAGCTCCATACAAGTAGTTCATACATGTATTGCGTATCTTTTGATACCTTTCGATATGTTTTAACAGAAAGTAATGTCACAATGTATGAAACAGAAGGCATGCATGCTGCAAATGTGTCTTTTCAGCTCTGATATTGGCTTGCTAGACCATGCATTAGCCTCCTGAGTGTAATTAAAGTTCAATTTATAGAGCAGGAGATAAAAACTTTCAAAGTAAGTTAACATGTTATTAAAAATTACAGCCTTTGGAGGTGTGTCTAGGGTTACATAAACGTAAACAAAAGTGATTTAACTCCTAAATGGCAGAGAATTGAACAGTAAAACTTCAGAGGCATAATCTATAAACCAAAACTGCTTCATTAAGCTAACGTTGTTTTGTTGACTATATACCAAAACTGCTTCATTAAGCGAACGTTGTTTTGTTGACTATAGTGTCCCCTTAATTATCATTCTTATAAAAGAATTCCATTTTATATATGTTGTAATTTTTTTTAATGTACTATAGTTAAATAAATAAATACGCAAATAAGAGCATTTTTTTATTTAGTTAGTTCAGTGGAAAACGATATCTCCTACTTATTTCATGTTTGCAACTGGACTAAGCTAGCTAGCACATAATTAGGCTTTGTAGGTTTAATTTAAACTCACTGAGCGTATCATTGCAGCTAAGCTCTCAATTTTGAAGTCACATAACAGTGTCGATTTAATAACTTTCACAGTGGATACCCTTGCCTTAAAAAAGCCAATGACTTTATATTTCTGAATCTGTTGTTAGTACATTTTAGATCATTGTGCAATATCACGATGTTGCTATAAAAGTGTTACATTTCATACATAATTCTGCAAACAACTTAACAAGCAAGATAAACTATTATCACTCTGATAGTATTAAAACTTTTGATAATTGTATTCACTGCCATTTTTCTTTTGCTGCCTATATCCAGATTCTACTTTTCTTCACAGTCACCAGCTCAAAATAAAATTATTTTATATAGACAAACATTTTACAGCCCTCTTTACAATTTTGCTCAGAAAATCAAAGTGTGTCGTGCTTTTGAGCACATTTTTTGCTGTCTGATCTTTTACACTTTATGAGCAATAATAGAGACCTAATTTTATTGAAAATTGATATTTGATA